AAGAGCTCATTTTCTGAATTCCAATAGCCTTTCAATCCCTGACATCATTTCCCTGTGTTTGCTTACTGTATGACACTCCTTTTCAAGTAGTGTACGTTGACTCTCACCTGATTTACTTGCTGCACCTCTTACAGGAAACCACAACTCCATTTGTAATATCTTTGCATAGGCAATTACCCACATTTGGAAGAGGCTTTCACATGTACTTGAACATTTGAAATTTTTTGATTCCTTTGAAGTTGGTTTTGGATATCCCTTACTACAAGGTTACTCTGAGCTGTCCGGTAACTGTAATGAAAACCCAGAAGTTCCATTGTATTTATTTTTGCGCACATATATGTGGTTTCCCATCATTCAAACATGAGGTAGAAATACACAGAATTTTAAATTGTTTATATTTTATCCCTAGTATTTACAATAATGACTGGTACATAAAAGACCATGAAGTAAAGGGGAAAAAAAATAAAGGAAAAATAGATAGTCTTTCCATTATGGAAAGACACAACTTCTAAAACAGAACCACCAATTTCTACGTGAGCCTTGACAAACCCCAAATCCAGATTTTTCCCAGTATCTAGTTCTTCAAATCCTACTCAGGTGCTGTTAAACACACTTTAAAAAGTCATACAACATTATAGAATGGATCCGCTACAAATTTATGTTGTCTTGACTGAATTAGGCTTTCACTACTGCAAGGTTGTACATGTACTGTTTGTCAAGAGACTACTGATTCTTTTTTCTACAGCAGCTATTCAACATCTTAACTTACATTTGCAAACTTCGAATATTACCTCATTCTCCACATTCTCAGCTGAGGATATTGCCTTAAAATATACTGAAAAAACAAAACAAAACAGAAGACATTAGTTTGATCTGCTCTTGCCCTTTTTCTTGCATTAAATACATATTTCACATAATTACACATTATCTCTTCATTTAATCTAGTGTCTGATAAAGATACGTACCCAAACATTGGTACACTCATAATTTCTACCAACCTACAATCTTTTATTCCTGTTCCCTATTTTCCCATCACTCGATGACTTCCTGACAAGAATTGGTCACCTCTTCCATGGAATGTTTTGAAATGGCCCCCTACTGGCTCTCCTGCCACATCTCTTCTGCATTTTGCTAGTCTCCCCTCAGCTGCCCAATGGGTTTTCATAAAGCACAGCACTTGGCATGGCAGGTCCATATTTGATAAATTTGAATCACATTCTTGAACCTCTCTGGTCAAATGTAAATTTTGCAAGCATGTAGGCTCATCATACCTATCTACCTATACATACATATAATTTTTTTCCTCCAACTACCCTAATATTGACCAAGGTCTCATGAGTTATAAATATCATCTTTCCATGCAGGAATGTAAACAGTTCAATCTTAATAAGTCTCTTATGATTTCTCTTTCCTGTTTACCTCTTCATGTTCCACTTAAGTCCTGTATTTGGAAGTCAAATTTTCTATTCAGCTCTGGTCTTTTCATCAAGAGTGCTTGAAAGTCCTCTATTTCATGACCATTTTTTCCCGTGAAGGATTATACTCAGTTTTGCTGGGTAGGTGATTCTGGGTTGTAATCCTATCTCCTTTGCCCTCCAGAATATTTTATTCCACGCCCTATGGTCCTTTAATGTAGAAGCTGCTAAATCTTGTGTTATCCTGACTGTGTTTTCACAGTACTTGAATTGTTTTTTTCTGGCAGCTTGTAATATTTTCTCCTTGACTTGGGAACTCTGGAATTTGGCTACAATATTCCTAGGAGTTTTCTTTTGGGGATCTCTTTTAAGAGGAGATCAGTGGATTCTTTCAATTTCTATTTTGCCCTCTGGTTCTACTATGTCAGGGCAGTTTTCCTTGATAATTTCTTGAAAGATGATGTCTAGGCTCTTTATGTGATCATGGCTTTCAGATAGTCCAATAATTTTTAAATTCTCTCTCCTGGATCTATTTTCCAGGTCAGTTGTTTTTCCAGTGAGATATTTCACACTGTTTTCTAATTTTTCATTCTTTTGGATTTGTTTTACAGTGTCTTGATTTCTCATAAAGTCACTAGCTTCCAATTGTCTATTGTAATTTTTAAGGAAGTATTTTCTTCAGTATCTTTTGGACTTCCTTTTCATTTGGCCAATTTTGCTTTTAGGGCATTCTTTCCTCATTGGCTTTTTGACTCTTTTGCCATTTGGGTTAGGCTATTTTTTAAGGTGTTATTTTCTTCAGTATTTTTTGGGTCTCTTTAGCAAGCTGTTGACTTGTTTTTTGTGATTTTCTTGCATCACTCTTAGTTTTTCCTCTACTTCCCTTACTTGCTTCTCAAAATCCCTTTTGAGCTCTTCCAAGGCCTGGGACTGATTCATATTTTTCTTGGAGGCTTTGGATGTAGGAGCTTTGACTTTGTTGTCTTCTTCTGGTTGTGTATTTTGATCTTCTTTTTCACCAAAGTAAGATTCTGTGGTCTGACTCTTTTTGCACTGCTTGCTTATGATCCCAGGAAATTGCTTGAGTTTTAAACTCTTTGTTAAGGTAAGAGTCTGCTTCCGATGTAGAGAATGTACTGCCCCAAGCTTCGGGGGTTTGTATAGCTGTTTTGAGAGATACTTGTAGGGACCTGTAAATTTTCAGTTCTTCCAAGTTGGCATGATAAGGGGCGAGGTGTTTACTCCTTTCCTGGCCTGTGACCACAAGTACTCCTTTCTGTCCTGTAACTGTGAGGAGGGGTTGCTCTCCACAGCCACTACAAGGTCCACCAAGCCAGAGCTCCTCCTCACCCCAGTACCACAGCTCAGAACTGTGACCCAGATCCAAGCACAGGCAAAGCAAGAGATTCCTGCCTCAGCACTGGCAAAGAGATCCCTGCGGTCCCTCTCTGATCAGCCACTGGATTCCCCCTCAGTCTGTGGGTCGGAAGCTCGGGAAGAGCTGCCCCCAACCTCCCCGGCCATGCTCTTGGGGAATAGAGCTGAGACCCCGACTTCCTCTCTCAGCAATGATAGAAACAGACTTTTCCCAGTGACCTTTTAAGTTGTCTTTGGCAATCGTGAATTGAGGAGTCTGGAAACCTCCACAGCTGCCCGTGATTCATTCCTCTGAGGCCTGCTCCAGGTTTCCTGCAGCCTGTGCGCCCACTCTGCTCTGCGCTGCGCTCCCAGCCTGGCATGATACACCTTTCTGATCAATCATCCAGGTTGTCTTGGGCTGGAAATTTGTTTTACTCTGTCTTTTTGTGGGTTCTGCTGCTTCAGAATTTGTTTAGAGCCATTTTTTTATGAGTATTTGGAGGGGTTTGGGGCAGAGCTCAAGCAAGTCATTGCTTTCACTCAGCCATCTTGGCTCTGCCTGTAGTATTCTGTTTATAAGCTAGGGCACATGAGTACTTAGAATAAATTAAGACAACTGCCTTGGGGAAAAAAAATTATAAAAACAAAACAAAATAAAAACAAAAACAAAAAGATAGGAAATCAGAGTGCCGTGTCTTTCAGTTCTGTTTCAAGACTGGACATATTCTAACGTCTAAAGCACATCATCATTTCTCTCTCTCTCTCTCTCTCTCTCTCTCTCTCTCTCTCTCTCTCTCTCTCTCTCTCTCTCTTTGTCTCTGTCTCTCTCTCTGTCTTTCCCTCTTTCTTTCTCTCTCTCTTTCTCTCCCTCCCTCCCTCATTCCTTGTGCGTGGTTGTTGCTTTCTGGCTGGGTACGGTGAGAAAAAATTGTTATTTCTCTCCTATATTAATAACCAATTAATATTGGGAGGGTGAGGATCCAGGTTTTTTTCTTTTCTATTTCTTCATTCAAAGTATAATCTTTCAAGGGCGTTTCTGACCCTGCTCCCTAAATTCTCTCCACTTAAACCATCTTATCTGGATGGAATTCCTACCCCACTATTGCTCATTGTTCATTGACTGAGTGGATCCGTTTATATAGGTTGTCCAAGGCAGAAGTGGTGTGGCTTGAGATGAGTGACATGATCACTTTCACATCATCAGCTCCTCATTAGAATAAGCCCATCTCTCACTATAATATTCATTCTCTTATTAATTCTTAATTAATCAGAGTTAATTTTCAACTGTGGGATCATCCACTCTTTCAAGGTCATGTAAGCATTGAGTGGCTTATCTGTGTTTTTTTTTGTTGTTGTCGTTGTTAATGAGAGAAAGCCAAGTGACCATCATTTTACTAGTTATCTGCTGGACATAATTAATAAAATTGATTAGTAATCACCCAGAAAATTTGTCCTGAAATTTTCATATGTTACAGAAGCCTTATCTTTGACCTGTGTGCTCCCAAATTTTCCTATAATATCCCCAGGGAAATGTTCTTGAGGCTGGAGGAATGCATATGTACACAATGACATTATAATACTGATGAATGGAAAATATGAAGGAGAAAGATTTTAAATCCTCACTATAATACTTAAACTATGGAACCATTGTCATGGGTGCACAACATATTTTTTTGATTAAAAGAATCAAAATCATTAGGGAAATTTCTTTATATGAGGAATATTTGATTTGTATAAGCAGAATCGTGTACATACCATAAGAATCCAGATTTGTAGTTATCATTAAAAGAAACAAATTTAAAAAGTATTTCCGTGTAATTCATTATTAATTCATGGCCTTTATGTAGGAGAAAGACAGAATTACTATTTTCAGTGTGTTTTCAATTCCTATATCTATTTTGAAAGTATAGGATTATCCATAAAGTGACCCCTTAGGGGTCATTGTAGGTGGATCAATACTGGAATAGATTATAGGCAGTTTATTTTTTTTTTAGTAAACATATGAAAGTGAATTGATACTATTACCATATTTTTATCCATATATGGACATATGAAGAAATGTGTCTATCTTATTCATCCTCTAGAATACTTGTCCTTCTGATTTAGAAGGAGGAGTTCAAAATGAGGCTGAGCTTGATGTAGAACGACTAAAGCTGTGCTTTATTGGAGATAGAGAGCTATGATCCATATTGGATACATTTAGATTCACTTTTTGGTTGTTTGCAGATGCAGAGCAGTGCCTGCAGTGCCCTGAAGATGAGTACCCAAGCAAGGAGAGAGATCGATGCCTCCCCAAGACTGTGACCTTCTTGGTCCTTGAAGAACCTCTTGGAATGACCCTGGCCTATGCAGCTCTCTGCTTCTCCCTCCTCACCACTCTGGTCCTTGCAGTATTTGTGAAGCACAGAGACACTCCCATAGTCAAAGCCAATAACCGCAGTCTCAGCTACACTCTTCTGGTCTCCCTCAGCCTCTGCTTCCTCTGCTCCTTGCCCTTCATTGGCCGTCCTAACACCACCACTTGTCTCCTGCGACAAACCACATTTGTAGTTGTGTTTACAGTGGCCATTGCCTCCATTTTAGCTAAAACCATCACTGTGGTTCTGGCCTTCAAGGCCACAAAGCCAGGCAGCAAGTTCAGGAGGTGGCTGGGCCCTACAGCATCTTATTCTGTCATTTTTGTCTCTGTGGCATCTGGCTTGGGACCTATCCCCCATTCCTGGAGATGGACATTCATGCGGAGCCTGCCTTCATTGTCATTCAACATAATGAGGGCTCCATCCTTACTTTCTAATGTGTCTTGGGCAACATGGCCTTGCTGGCTTTGGGGAGCTTCACAGTAGCTTAACCGGACAGGAATGTGCCAAACACTTTCAATGAAGCCAAGTTCCTGACATTCAGCATGCTTGTATTCTGCAGTGTCTGGTTGGCATTTCTACCCACATATCAGAGCACCAATGGCAAGGCCATGGTGGCCGTGGAAGTCTTTTCAATCTTGACCTCCAGTGCTGGGATTCTCACTTGCATCTTTGCTTCTAAGTGCTATGTGATCTTTTCTGAGGTCAGAAAGAAATACCCTGGAGATACTGAAAAAGAAAGCTACTCACTGAGAAGTTAGATGTCCTCAAATTCTTCCTCACTAATCACGGTGAAGTAGCTCCTTGGCTCCTACAGTCTTAATAAAATATTTTCAATATATCTAGCTCGTGTGCCTTCAAATTTCTCTTAATATCATCTCTTTTTCAATTGAACCTAATAGCATTTTGAAGAGAGTCATATTGACTGACTTCTGAATAAACATAGTTCTTATTTTGAAATATCTTACCTACGGCAGACACTTAATATATAAAGATGATTTAAAACAATAGTGGAAACAGTCGATGAACTTAAAGATGTGAGTGCTTGGTTTCAGATTCTAACCTTTTATCAGTCCTTACAGCATTCAGAGTCATTGATTTCTTATTTACCATATTGAAACTATAATTTCCCATTTCTCTATTTGTGTGATATCATTTGAGTGATATCAGTCATTACATTTATTAAATATTATTGGATGAATTGAACATAACTCCAAGAGATTATTTGCTGGAGAATGTGTAAGAACTAATTCATTTGCTGACTAAGGTTGTTTTTCACCAATGAACATATACAAGAAGTTTTTATGCCTTTCATTTCTTTCCATCAATTATAAAACTAGGAAGTCATGGTCTGGTCCAGAAAATGTTTGCTAAATCCTTATTGTTCCTTCTGATATTTTTAGCAACAATACCTTTAGATATATCAGTAGTTTATATCATAAGACATAATAAAAATGAGAAAGTAGTCATGTGTTAGTAGTTCACTTTTTTTTTCCAGGAATCTACTTCAATTGAGCTGTTCTTCAGGTCATATTTTTATTCATCCCATCCCCCATTACTTTTCACTGGGCAGCATCTTACTATTTGCTTTGTTTTTGTGACATATGTGAACATTTCACTGGACTCAGAATGCTTTGATGGAAAATTGATATGTAAAATTCTGAGACCTCCTCTACAAATTAGATGGGATACTGGATGTCTTACTCTTTTAAAAGAAGGTGGTAATGTCTGTGCAATAATGAAAAGGACAAAATGACACATCCTAGATCTCTGTCATTTTCTTTTATTTTTCTTTGTTTCTTTTAGGGAATTTTAGTTCAAAGACAGGAAGAAAAACCCCAGGATGATGGTTGCTTTTTTTTCCCAAGGTCAGCTTTCTTCTAGAACAAGTAATATAAATGAAAAGTTAAAAAAAAAAAGCCAAGTACAAGGACAAAAAGCCAAGAACTAGTCCCTAGTGAATTCTTGGAGAAAATGTATTTGAACCTAATGTCACTAATCCAGCACTCCAAGTATGCTCACTGGTCCTGGCTTTCCTCTGCTCTGACAGTTCATTCACAAGTATGACACAAGTCTATGACCCCTTTGGCTTCTATAGTTTTAGAAACTTTTGATCTCAGTCCTTTGTGATTTCTTTGGCAGAGAGTGAGTGTCAGTACTCCCAGGGTTAGTGGAAGACATTCTATATTGTATGGTTACCTTTCTGATTTCTCCTGATCCAAATTCCCCATCCTCGGCCAGATAATTTTCAACACCCATGTGCCAGAGACAAACTTACATGCCTCTCTTTCAGAGTTAAGCCCACACAATTTCCCATCCCCATATCAGTGAGTTAAGGACAATGAATAAAAGTCATCCTTAGGACCAAGAAGAAGATAAGATGTGTCTATCGCTTTTTGGAGATAATATATTTTACTAAGGGAATCTGAGAGAGTCAACTTAAAAACTGATTTATATAATGTATAACTTCAGCAAAGATACAGGATATACAATAACCCCACACAAATGATTAACATTTCTACTTATTATCAACCAAATGAAGCAGAGAGCCCTAGAAAGAGAAATTCCTTGTAATATGACTACAAACAGTATACAATCTCTGAGGCTCTATCCAACAAGACAATGGAATTATATGGAAATTATGAGAAATACCTTTAGACAAATAGAGAAATATCTAAATAATTGGATAAATATTAATTGTCCGTGTTTAAGGCAATGAAATATAATCAAATAAAAATATTTAATTTTACTTATTTTGTCACATTACCCAGCTCTATGAAGTAAATCTGTAGTAATTTGATTGCTATTAAGTAAATGCCAACACTATGAAAGTCAGTTTACTGATCTGATGCTTACTGAATATTCAAATTATGACTTTATAGAACTTAATGATATTTTAACTGAATTAGTTTGAAGAAATAACTAATTTAGTATATTTAGGGAGATAAAGCATTAGATGAAAGGGGAGGAATGGCACTCACAGACCTCAAACTATAATATAAACTGCAGTCATCTAAACCACTCGTTATTTTTTAAAAATAGAGAAGTAAAACAATGAAATGGGGTAAGGGGGAATCAGAAACAATTGAACTCGAGAAAACTCAGGTTTTGAGAGTTGGATTGTAAGGAAAGGTGAGCGCTCCAGGCTTGACTCTTTTGAATTGTGGTGCTGGAGAAGATTTTTGAAACTCTCTTGGACAGCAACGAGATGGCATCAGACCATTTTTCAGGAAATTAATATAGGCTATTCACTGCAAAGTCAAACGCTGAAGCTGAAGCTTAAATACTTTATGCACATAATGATAAGTTGGGACTCACTTAAAACACCCTGATGTTGGATATGATTGAAGGGGAAAAAAAAAAGGAAAAGGGGATATCAGAGGATGAGATAGATAGATAGTGTTGTGGAAATAAATAACAAGAACTCAGATAGACTTTGAGAGATATTGGGGAATAGATGGACCTGGCATGCTATGGCCCATTGGAGCACAAATTGTCAAAAACAACTAGACAACAACAACAACAACAGCATGGACAAAGAAGTTGAACGAAATATTAACAAGTGCCCCAATAAGAAAATCCCCTGAACCAAATGCATCTTCGAGTGAATTCTGTGAGTTTTCAGGGACAGTTCATAATAATACTGTATAAAGTATTTGGAAAAAACAGATTAATAAAGAGTCATAGCAAATATATTTTATGACCCATATATGGTTTTGATCCCTAACCTAGAGAACAAGAACAGAGTAAGAAAACTATAGACCAATTACCTTAATGAACGTTGTCGGAAAATATTAAATAAAATACTAGGAAGGAGATTAAAGCAATATATTGCAGAGAGAAGTATGATTTCTTTGCATAAATATAGGTCTGTTTCAACCTGAAGAAAACTAGATGCATAACTGACCACATCAATAAAAAAGAACAAAAATCACAATTGTCTTAATAGATTCAGAAAAGCATTTGAAAAAATAAGACTCATTTGTATAAAAAACAACTTGAAAAGCCTAGGAATAAATGGATTCTTCCTTAAAATTATTAGTTATAGCTATTTAAAACCAAGTGCAAACATTATCTGTAACAGGGACAAACAAATCTTTTCCTATAGGATTTGAGAAAGGAGACAATGAGAAAAAAAACATGAGATGAATACAAATAGACAATGAAGAATGAAAAGTATAGCTGATAAAGTGAAATACCCAGCAAACACTAGAGAATCAATTCAAAACCAAGCTGAAAATATTAACAACTTAAGCAAACTTGAAGGATAGAAAATAGTCAAGGAAATCATCAGCACTGTGACCTGTTTATTACTTGTTCAGTTATATCTGACATTTTATGACCCCATGTGGGGTTTTCTTAGCAAGCAAGTTGGAGTGGTTTGCCATTTCTCCAGTGGGTTAAGGCAAATGGAGTTTTGGTGGAATGGCGGACCTGGAAGCCAGATAATAAGGTGTTAAGGAAAGAGTGAGAGGAGGGACAGTATAGGAACCTGTTGTGGGTGGCTGTTTCAAGGGTTTATAGGATGCTAGTTTGTGGAAGATAGAAAGATAAAGTGAGAGATTGTTTTCAGAATGCGGGTGTTTGTAGGGTATTTGTAGGTAGTAGGGTATAAGCCAATAGAAACACCAACACTTAACCCCCAAGTGCCAAACTGAGGGTAGAAGAATCAGTGGAAACCAACTTGGAAAACCACCAGGTACCTCAGCATTCTACAACAAATGGGTCTCCCAGTGCCTCAGGAAAATAAGGGAAGAAGAATTTTAAAAGTCAAATGAGAGAGGTAGAAGAAAAAATGAGAAAAGAAATGAGAGGTATGCAAGAGAGTCAATAGCTTGGAAAAGGAAGGACAAAAATTAACTGTAGAAAACAAGTCCTTAAATAATACAAGTGGCCAGCTTGGGGGAAAAAATAGTACACTGAAGAAAACAAGTCCTTAACCGTAACCCTAACCCTAACCCTAACCAGAGAACAACTGAACCAGAAGAAAAATGGGGTGCAGCAGTCCAGTAGCCCAGGTACCTGTAGGGATTAACAGGAAAAGCCCCTATAACCCTGGGGAAGGGGAGAAGTACAGAATGGGAGGTGTCCCAGCAAGCTAGTGGAAAGCCCCACCTCATCATGCCAGGAGGAGATCCTGAAACCCAGGTGGTGGAGCAGGTAAACACCAATACCTGGTCCCCAGAGTGCCTCAGTGAAGGCAGGGTACTAGTGGAAACAAGCTCAGAAACCACAAGGTGCCTTGGCATTCTACAGTAACCGGGTCTCCCCATTCTTCAGCAAAACTAAGAGAAACAGCACTACAAAGGCCCCCACACGGATAAACACCCTTCAACATCCATCTGAAAGGAGCTGAAGAAAGCAAAAGGAAAGGAAAAGCAGGCAACATCCAGGAGCCAGACTACCCAATCCTATCCCTGGAGTTCCAGTGTTGCTGATTCCAGCCC